ATCGTCTGGGTTGTATTTTTTTTTTGCCTTTTTTGTTACCACTTCTCTTGCTCATCTCTGTGATTTATGATCCGTTTGCTTTGACTGCATATGAGATTTGCTATGAAAGTGATGAGCTTGGAAGTGAGAGTTTTGTCCAAGTGTTAACTTTTTAAAGTGGTTGAAGCATGTGCATGTTTTAATTTGTACATAAATAGGTTCCCATGTTCATTCTGAAATTACATAACCAAAGAAATATTAAGCTTTCACAGTATGTGGTTAGAATATAATGCAATTAGTCATCCAGTCCAACATTCAGTGATAGAGACAGCTCTTGGTTATTAAATTAGCATTTTGTTTTCATGTGTTTTTCTGTCTCTCTCTATTAAGTAGGAAGTCCCTGGCAAAGCCAACTGTCTGGCTTTGTGTGTGCATACGTGTCTGTGTGGACATGAGTATTTATTGTGGCTGGGTAATGCTATAGTTCATGACTTGCAAAAGTTGTTATACCTGACTAAAGGGGGATTTCATTGGTTTGCAAATGAACTTGACAGGCAGTCAAACAACGCTATCTGATGTCTCCGTCTTCTCACAGAGGAGATGCTGCTGTAATGACAGCAGGCTTAGGCAGTGCTGAGGAAACTAATACATCTGCCACTCATGGTTTTGTCCAGAGCCTTGTTTACACTAGTAGAAAACAGGTACGCAGTGCATTAGCACTGATTTGCCAACTAACGCTGTTTGCAACTGGATTCTAGGGCAGTAACTGCTGTGCTGTGAATGAGACTAATGGAGCCTAATTTAGGGATTAAACATGAACAGGAAGATGAAGTGATTGTGAAGATAACTAATGCAAAGTGATTTTTATCTTGCTGAGTTTAAACTCTGTGGAAATTACTTTAGCTATCTGTGTGCATCTCGAGCCTCTCCTGATGAGCAATATGGCAAGGAATGATGAGTAGGCAACTCTAGTAAATGTGATTTGCAAAGCTTTGTTCATCATTGGATTAGAGATGGGCAATGTCTATTGAATTGGCATCGGGCAATGTCTACAGTAACATATTACGATAGACGATGGCCTCACTGGTGGGTGGGAGGGTTTGGCAACTAAAAGCACCCAAAAGTGCTTGTTTGGTTCTCCACTGGCTGGCGAGGTCACAAAACTGACAGCAACGAGTCTCATTGGGGAGAGCTCACCATCATGATGCCTATCAGCCAACGACGATTGACAATGG